TCTTTCTGCTCCTCTGATGCTGCTTGGCCTGCTGTGTTCATCCAGCTCTACACCTTGTTATCTTAGATTCTCCAGCATCTGCAGTTCCTACTATCCTAGATTATAAACATATGCTTGATTTACCCAGCACAGTGATAATTTGACTGATAAAAACAGATAGGGTGGACCAGAAAATTAAACCTGTTTTGGACTATGCGTCTTGCCATTACATTCAGCAAAGTCTGTCATTTGTAGGAGAGCTGGTTAACTTTTAACCATCTGATATATATTTTATATTTTGCTATTATTTACCACCATTTTTCAGAAATGTATAACTTGGACTCACACAGGACTGACCTCAAATATTGTCTTCCTTAAATGACAGTGTTTGTGTAATTTATACATATTTTAATATTATTTAGTTTAGAATTTGGATTTTGAACTAGTGCGATCCAGGTTTTGTCTGCGTATATGAAATTGTTTAATAATTAACTTGCACATATTTCTGTAGCCATGGTGATTTACTTTAAAAAGGTTGTATGAGAGCAAGTTTGTTTCAGGAGAGTAACGGGTTTTATTTTCATGGGGAAAGTGTTATGAATGAACAAAGTAAACAAGCTTCAGTTAGAAGATTTTGGATTTTTTTTCTGATTTCGGAGAAACACCCATAACTCAGAATACTTTTAGTTTCAGTTTTGCAGAAGTTTTACCTGAAGGTGGATGCAATAAACAGTTATTCCTAAAGAAAGCAGATAGTTCAGAACTGGTAATAAATATATTACATCAGTAAGACAAGTTTAGTTTTTCACTTCCAAATCACAAATGTTTGGTTACAACCATGGAGTCTAATCTCAGTTGTATGAAATTTCAAGGAAGAGGCAATCAGATTGTTAAAACCAGGGAATTAAATCTAAAGCTAAGTCCATCCCTAAGTGTGATACAGAAAATATTTCTCTCTGGTATTTGAGCACTGTAAAGGGATGTTGTTTGAAGTTAACAGGATTGTCCTTTTACCATGTTTTGAAATATTTTAACTTGCTTTATTTGTAAACAGCTTGGTTTAATCTATTATATCTTCATTTCTTCTATGCAATAAACTTCTGTTTTACTAACATGTAGCATTGCATACTTGTGTTTCAGTGAAAGACCACATTGTTAAAACCAAAATAATAAAAACAAAATGGGATCTATCAAGCGAAATTTCAGTCTAGGGTCTGACTTATCCAGTGATGACATCATTTGAGATCATAATAACATGAGTAACTTTTGCATGGTCACAATAACACCACTCCAATTCTTTCACATCAGGAAGACCAAGATATCCACATTTTTATTGATAGGAGACAAATTTTGGTTGTTTTATAAACAAGGGACAGTTCTGCTCAACTACCACTTTGCCTCAATAATAAACACAGCCATTGGTAGTAATGACTACCATGAAACTGAAATAAGAATAGATTTGATGCAGAATTAAAAGTGGAGACAACAGCCATAATTTTAAGAGACACAATAGACTAATTTCATGGAGGCAGATAGCATGAGGGAACTTATTACAAATGCCTTAAACTAAAAGGAATGATATATAAAGCATTATCAATTATCACAGACCTCATCACTATTTAGTTCCATCTGTAGGTTTGTTAGTCTACAAACGCAGTCTCAAAGATGGGTTTGCAGAACATTTCCATGATGGCTTCCTAGGGCAATACTTATTGGAAGTAATTAAGGATAATTTAAGTTATTTTTCAATCTTTATTGTGCAATAGGTTAAGTTTAATTTGGCAGCTCATAGTGAAGGACGTGCTGGGAAAATATGACCATGAAACTGAGCATCAGCAGTATGGACCATCGACAAGATGCAAAGAAGCCACTCATCACAATTCCTTCAACCGTACCTTCCAAAACAATAATCTCTACTATCTAGGAGGACAAGGGCAAAAGACACATGGGACCACCACCATCTGCAACTTCCCCCAAGGCACCCAACATTCTAACTTGGATCTATACTGTTGTTCTTTCTCTGAAGTTGGGTCAAAATCTTTAAACTCTCTTCCTAACAACATTGCAAGTCTACCTGCATCACATGAACGGCAGTGGTTCAAGATGACAGCTCAGCACCACTTTCTCAAGGGTGACCAGGGATAGGAATAAATGTTGGCCTAAGCAGTGATGCCCACAAGCTGTGAAAGAATATTTTAAACATGTCCGCGGAATGGCTGCACATTCCTCTGCACTGATTACACTAGCTGCATTCTATGGTGTTTCTGACAGCCATCTCCTCTGCTCAAAAACATCAAACACATCTATTGTTATGGTTTGTGAAAACAGACTGTCAATATTCAACTTACATCATTTGTTTTTAATACCCAAGAATTTCATGGACCAGAAATAGTATTACTTTGAAAAAAAGAGGACACCACTGACTTAAAATGGCTGTTGTGAACATCTGACAAGCCCAAGAATCTACATGAAATTGACAAAAACTGCCTGCCTTGGAATTACCATTTCTAATGTAGAGGCACTGGAACTCAGTGAGGTTTCAGAAAAATTGCATCTTTTATTTGCACTTGCATGATAATCTTTCATCTTCAATATGCAAAGTTATCTGCAATGTTTAGTTTGGAAAAGACAATCCAGCAAGACAGGAAACATACCAAAAAACAGATTCAATTACTTGTTTAGAGCAACACAGAGACAAAAATAATTACCATGGACTGAATATAGCAAGAATATGGAAAGTTCCTTTCTCCCTCACTCTCAATTATCGTAAACAGTGCTGGTGAAATAAAAACAACTTGGAAAAACCTCTGTTTGCTGGTATATCATGGTACCTGCAAGCTTTGTCACTCCTAGGAAGCAGGAGTGCAACTAAATAGTTGGGACTGAGGTTTCACTCTTGCAACTCAAAAACATGTCAAAAAATTGTAACTCTAACAGCCTTTTCCTTCCTGTCTGTATTAAATACCTGTTCTCCTGCAACTCTTTTGGAAGTTCATTACCTGTGGTTTGTCATCACTTTCTTTTTCAGGTAATTAAACAATAACTTCTTTCACTGAATAAAGCTTTGAATTTGGCTCTCATTCATTTTTGGTCTAGTTAACCCAGTTTAATTGAACTGTAAAAGCTGTGCGCTAAAAAATAACTGACTGGCTATGATTGATCGACAGGGAGTTGGAAACAAAAAGATGGAAGCTATGACCCCTCCTCACTTGGTTGTAACAACAGTTAGCCAACCTGCTTTTGCTTTGTTTTAGTTGGGAA